CGAGCCGCTGCTGTGGCAGAGGTGGACGGGGGGACACCCGGCAGTTCATTGACACAAAAACTGGAGGGGGAATGTGCAAACTGCGTAGTACCTGGAGATGGGAGCCCGTCGTTCAGGTGTTTTGTCCTAAAACTTATCTTGCAAACCATGTGTGACGTGGATGTGCTTAACTGGTCTGCATGTCTCTCCGCCAGAATGAAATTAATGCCTCACACCTTTTTTAGAACTTAACCATTTGTGTATTTAATAATGTTTCTTTGATTGCAGGACTTCATAGATCTGACTTTGTCAAAGACTCAGCGGAAGACTCCAACTGTCATTCATAAACATTATCAAATCCATCGGATTCGACATTTTTACATGCGAAAAGTCAAATACACTCAGCAAAATTATCATGACAGGCTCACTCAGATCTTAACAGATTTCCCCAAATTAGATGTAAGTGTTTTGTTGTTTGGTCATAAAGGAACTTTGCTTTCATGGCTTACAGGAGTACTTCTTCAACAGCCTGTTTGTTGTATTCAGGTTTATTTTGGCCTGAGCAACATCTTGTTCATTCACTGTATAGATGATTTTGCCTGATTCACAGTAGATTTTACTGGGAGTAGATTTAGGCAAACTTGTCCTGCAAAAATAGTATCTTCCTGCTAAGAAAGGTCTAAATTGTGCGCATGGGTGGTCATTGAAGAATGAGTTTTACAAGGTTTTAGCTGATGAAATATATTTGCCTGAAGTTGCTGTTGAGTGAAGAGAAAGTATGTTTGGTTTTTTTTAAGTATGTTGTGTCTGCTCATTTCTTCTCTGTGGGTGTGTATATAAATTGTGCTTATGGTTAGGCTTCCCTAGAAAATATTTGCAGGAAGTAAGAAATACCCAAATTTATCACCTTGCTTCCCATCTTCAGTTCTTCAGAAGTTACTTTGATAGCATAAACATTGTTCTTGACACCGTAAAGGATGGTGTTGGAAACAGACTCTGACAAGATGCACATAGTCTTAACTTCCCAACAACTGCACCTGGATCCGCATGTCCAGTGGGACCTTTTTATAGGCAGTTTTCTGCTCATGCTTAAGTTGTTGACCTGCAACCATATTTTTTGCTGATGTTTTCATATCCAGTGAGTGTTACTGCAGAATTCCTACAAATATCTTCTGTATTGTGTTTATCATCACATGATGAAATTTCTGAAAGTACATAAATAGATGAAATATTTTGTTTAAAAGATTTGAACTGAAGATGCTGCTTCCTTGGAAAGCTGAAGGATTTATTTGGGCATTGAAGAAACCTTTCTTACCCAGTCTTACACAGAATTTAATCTAGCACTTGGAAAAAGAGGGGAATTGATATTGGTGCTGTGTTTCCGATATAGTATGAGTTTGCTGTTAGAAACTACTTCTGCAGGCTTCTTGCAGTTTCCTTATTTAAAAAAAAAAAAAAAGCCTTCAAAGTTGTAATACGGATTATTGTACAAAGCAAAAGATGAAATGGAAACTCTGTATGAGTGAGTCCAAGATGTATTTGCAGAAGAAATTCAGAGAGGTTAAGATTTATGTATTCAATGATGAAGCGGATTATTTTTTTTATGTAAGAGAGTAATGAAAACAGTTTGGCTTGTATTATAATTTGTGTTGCTGTACTGGAAAAATAAAAAAAAGGAACTTATATAGTTGCCAGGAAATAGTCATCTTAAAGACAGAAAATATTAGGCTTAATTTTATTTTATGCTTTTGTTTTAGGATATTCATCCTTTTTATGCAGATTTGATGAATGTTCTCTATGACAAAGATCACTACAAGCTGGCTTTGGGGCAGATTAATATTGCCAAGAATCTGATTGACAAGTAAGGGACAGTAATTTCTTCGATTTTGTACCTCTCTGGTTAATTGTTGGCTAAATTCTTATATCTTGTCTCCACAGTGTTGCTAAAGACTATGTGCGACTGATGAAATACGGTGATTCCCTTTACCGCTGCAAACAGCTGAAACGTGCTGCTCTGGGACGAATGTGCACGATTATCAAAAGACAGAAACAAAGCTTGGAATATTTGGAGCAAGGTTTGTGTTATAAATTGGCTAAAATAAGGCATGTGAATTGGATGTAAAATTTATTCTTACACTTAATAACACTTAAAAACAGTTAGAAGAATGTGTTTAATAGAGAATATAGACCCAAGAAACACAGAAATAATTTTGAAGTCCCCAAATACCGAATTTATTTTTTAACTAAATAGTTTTCTCTTTGAAAAACCTTTAAATTTTATGGTATTACTAACAGTTATAAATGTTACTCTTTGCTTAAAAGTCACAGCCATGCCTTTATTTATCTTTATTTCACTGATGTATTTGAAAAATAGGGATAAACATTTTCCGAACATTACTCCTTACTTCAGGTTATGTTGCCTGATCTGATGGGGTCATTCTAGTTAAAAGACAGTGGTCTTAATTTTTAAATTAATTATTAAGTTTCTTTTTTTTGTTCTATGTAGACACTGGTGGAGTTTACAAGCTATTACATGTTTTCATAAAGGATCAATCAAATTATAATGTTGGAAAAGTTATTAATCTGTACATAAACAATTGAGCATATGAATTTTTATTCCATTTCAGTAGAAGTTAAATTATCACAAATATTTAAAAAGTCTTTTCCACATTTTAGTGCGACAACATCTGTCTCGTTTGCCAACCATTGATCCCAATACACGAACTCTTCTGTTGTGTGGCTACCCAAATGTTGGAAAATCTAGCTTTATAAATAAGGTATGTGAATGTTTTTTTCAAAAATAATAGTGAGATACGATTTAATTAAAATAAGGTAACATTGAAACAACATGGTGATATTATGGCACTGTCTGATGTAAGCAGTAGCAAATTCAAACGTGTGAGTAGAGATTGAGTGAAATTCCTGGAGGGATAAATGGAAAATTACAATAGATTTTGCTCTTGAAAACTGTTACATTTTCCAAAATAGAATGTATGCCATTAACATATTTTTCTGATGGGTAAATTCTTGCAGAGAAGCCAGAATAAGCTTTTTTAGCTTTTTTTTTGTAGCAAAGGAAGTGTATTATAATTATGATCTACTGCTTGCAAGTTCAGGAAACATTCAGTAAATGTGTCTGAATAAATCTTGTTTTAAGGTTACAAGAGCAGATGTAGAAGTGCAGCCTTATGCCTTTACCACAAAATCTCTCTTTGTGGGACATATGGATTATAAGTATCTGCGCTGGCAGGTAAGAACTGTTACTATTTTGCATTTTCTTTAAAGAATTAACTGGCTATAATCTGATTTGCCATTTTGCAATGTGAGTTGCAGTTTTGTCTCATGATGAGACATGCTATGCCTGCGAGTTGCTGTGCAAGGTACAGGGTGCCAAATGAGGGCAGTGGTCAAAATCTGTTCTAAAAGTGTACATCTATGGGTGTGTTTTCAAATTGAGGGAAGAACAGAAATGGAATTACTGGCTAAAGCCAACTCAGTTTTAATCACTGTCAAAT